ACGGCTGCACCAACTTATTTTCCTGCCTATTCATTTAATAATACAGTCTATGTTGACGGTGGTGTTCAGGCAAATAATCCGGCGATGATTGCTTACAGCCATGCCCTCAGAATAAATCGCTCATCCACTGACAAAAGTCGCATACGATTATTATCATTGGGCACTGGTGATTATGTACCGGATCCGCTTCATCCAACCGCTAATCGAGATCTTCTATTTTGGTATCGAAATCGTCAAACTGTCTTAAAAGTCGTGACGGATGTACCTCAGAGCAACATAGATATGCAACTTGGCGACATCATCGGCGATGAATACTATCGATGGCAGGTTTGGCTAGCAAATCCAATTCAACTTGATGATATCCAGCCGCCCACCATTGACCGACTCATTGATCTAGCTCACGAACAACTTGAAGAAATGGAAGCCTATGATAATAGTCAGAGACTCGGCTGTCTCATCGAAAAACTTCGCTCGCCCGAAGAAACATTCACTTAATTTTTCTAAATATTTTTTTTTATTAAAACCAGAAAAATGAAACATATGAGAATACACCAGAGCATTGATTTATTGATGAAAGTTCTTGATTAGATCATTTTGTCAAATTCTGACATATAATTTAATTCGAAAATGGAGAGCGTATTATTCATTTACAGGTTAGTTGAACATGCCTATCATTATACATAGGAAATCAATTTTGAAAATACACTATGAAACATGGCGCCGCACATACGAAAGATATGATACTAAGCAATTCCTCAGCCCAGCTATAGTTGATTTTGCTCAAATAATCCCGTAACACACATGGTTTGAATTAAATATCATCCAAAATGATAGCAGAATCCTCATCATGTGTAAAGTTCTCTGTGCAAATAACTACATAGGATGTGCGCGTGTGTGAGTGTGGATGGGTGCGGGGTGTGGGTGTGAGTGTGAGTGTGGGTGTGGGTGAGAAAACGAACTACACCCACAACCTCATCCACATGCACCCACATCCCCACACCCACACACTTATATTTCCTAATCATTCACGATTTAAGTAATAATAAAAATATTTATTAATATAATTATGAATATTTGTTATATTTTAAGAATATTAACACGAAATTTACGTCTACGACGTGATGATAAAATTGCTTTTAATATTCCAAGTATGAACAAGACGAAATATTTATATATACTAATATTAAATTATTATAGTTTTCATCGATACAAATACTCCTCGACCATTTATCGAAGATTTTTCAATTTATGGTGATAATGCTGTTGTAAATAAAACTGTTGCTATTGAAGATCATATTCATCTTGATGCAATTGGTTTGGGTACAGGTTGTTCTTGTTTACAAGTTACTTTTCAAGCACAATCAATCGATGAAGCACGACTTCTTTATGATCAATTAATACCAATGACTCCAATTATGGTAAAATAATTAATTGATCTTAATTGTTGTTTATTTCTTCAACTAAATTCTTATTTTTCTATTTTGTTTTTGTTCATATCATTGCAGTTAGCACTGAGTGCAGCATCACCAATTTGGCGTGGATATTTAGCTGAAATCGATTGTCGATGGAATGTATTATGTGCAATGTGCGATGATCGAACAACAGAAGAACAAGGATTTGAAGTAAGTCAAAGTTCATTTTGAATTGATCCATAAAAAAAAACAATATCTAAAGTTTTCGGATTAGAAAAATTTATCTATAAATTCTATTATGTATTTCAACAGAAGGGAAAGAAAAAACATTATTATATGTATATTTAGCCATTAAAAAATGAACGTTTTCATATTCCTAAATCTCGTTATTCAAGTGTTGATTGTTACATATCACCTGACAGTGCAGTATATAATGATATTGAAGTTGTTCAAGATATGGATATTTTTCATAAACTTACGGAAAATGGTACATAAATCTTCATATATTTGTCTTCATATTAATTTTGTGTTTCTTCTTTTCATAGGTATTGATCATTTATTAGCTCAACATATAGCACATATATTTATTCGTGATCCATTAATTTTATTTGAAGAAATGCTTCATCTTGATGATACAAAAGATACTGATCTTTTTGAAGTAAAACAAGAATTTACTAGTTTATCTTTATATCTGTTAGCCTCAAAATTCAAATTAGTCTACAGATGAATATTGTATTCAGATTCTTATTAATGAAATGAGAGAAAGCAAAAGAATTTCAATGAATAACATCGTCTATGACTTCATAAATACAAACTTAATTAATCAATTGATAATTGTATTAATTGAAATAGCATCATTCTCTCTCATTTCATTAATAAAAATCTAAATACAGCATCAATCTAGAGACAACGCGAAGAGGTCAGAACAGGGGGAAGGGTACTCAAAAACCGGAGAAAGTAGCCTAAAATTTATAAAATTTGTCCGATTATATGTTTCCAAAATCGGAGAAAACTCTTTAATAATCTCTCTAGATTAGAAGAAAATCTGAGTCAGAATTCTCAAAGCAGAGGGTACCCTTCCCGTTCGCGTCGCCCCTGCATCAATCTACATACTAATTCGAATATAAAATCAGTTCAATATTGAATTCAATCTTTGCTTGAGTTGATCCAAAAATGAACGTAATATTAGCTCGGAAACTAACAGATATATCGTTCTTTTTTGATTTTATCTGCAGAATATCAATTCAACAAATTGGCAATCAATGAGATTTAAACCACCACCAGCTAATAGTGATATTGGTTGGCGAGTAGAATTTCGACCTTCAGAAGTAAGAAATATTCTTTTTTCTTTTCTTATTAAAATTCATTCTTTTTCTTTTGCTCTAGTTACAAATGACTGATTTTGAAAATGCTGCATTAGTAACATTTATTGTTTTATTAACACGTGCTATACTAACATATAATTTAAATTTACTTATTCCAATATCTAATGTAAGATGAAAAAATGCATTTTTTGTAAATAATAATATGATAATATTTATTGATATATTTAGGTTGAAGAAAATATGCAATTTGCACAAAAACATGATGCAATTCGACGTGAAAAATTTCATTTTCGTAAATTTCTTTCGACAAGTATGAAAATTTTATTGATTTAATTTAAAAATTTATTTTATATTTTTCAATTTAGAACAAACACCTGATACACCTTCTTTTATTTCAATTCAGAAAAATAATTCTAAAGAACTTGAACATGATAAAAATGAATGTGAACATTGTTTTATGACAATCGATGAAATTATTAATGGATCAGTAAGTTTTTTTTTTTTGTTTAATATTTAAATTCTATATTCATTGTTATTTTAGAATAAATTTATTGGTCTTTTAAATATTATTCAAGATTATTTATCAAATATTGACATAGATGCTGATACACGAGATACTATTAATCAATATTTGAATTTAATTAGTAGACGAGCTGCTGGTATGTGTAATGAAAAAAATTAAAAAAATGAGAACTTTGAATTTATTTTTGAATGTTTAAAGGTACATTGATGACTAATGCAACATGGATGCGACATTTTGTAGCAAATCATCCAGCATATAAACATGATTCAGTTGTTACTGATGAAATAGCTTATGATCTTTTATGGAAAATGAAAAAAATAGCAAATGATGAAGAGAATTGTCCTGAAGTAGTACGAAGAAAATCATCGAAAACAACACTTGATATATCAGCAGCAATTGAAAAAGATATTAATGAAATAGAAATGAAACGTTCATTGATTAATGATAATCAACAACAAGAACAATTATCATAATAGTACAATATCAATAAGATTCTTTTCTTTTTATTTAAACATGTATATAAAATGACTACAAAAATTTGTTAAAACAAGATTTATTTAATTTCATTCAAACTATATAAAATGATAGAACAAACGATTCTCTACAAAATGAAATGTCTGATAATATTCCACATCGGTTTTTTTTTCGCTGAGATAAATCTCTCTAATTGAAGACTCGAAAATAATTTCATCAAGATCTTCATTTTTAAAATATCATATTTATTTCTTTATGTTATTGTTTGAAAATTGTTTAATAATTTTGGTAGTCACTGTATATATTTTTGTTCTATAGCTTTTCTGTTTTTTTTTTTGAAAATTTTTTCTTACTATTTTTGAATTTATTGTCTTCATGAACTTATTAATTTATACTTGCATAATTTATATTTAAAAACCCAATTTGAAAAGTAATTTTTCTCTTTTCTTTTTGTCTATATATATATAAGCAATAAAATAATATTCACGTTATACATGAAAAAATAAAGCAAGTTTGTAAATTTATAAATACATTAATATTAGATATTAAAACTTGACTGATTGTAGAGAAGTCATATGAAGAGAAACTATCAATACTATTGATTATCAATCTTTGATCAAGTTGGATGTAAAAATAATATGAGAAGAAATTACAGTCTATTTAACGATTGATACACTTCGTTTGTGTTCTGCTTCTAATAAATAGTAAAATATGTGATTTATTATTATTTTCTTGTTTTTTTTTGAATAAAATTTTCGTACGATTCATTCACGTAAAATAGAATTAATAAATTTTGAGAATGTGTTGAAAGCGGTAGAATATATGTTTTATGCTTGTGATATATATATTTTGGTTCTGTTTTTTGTAGAATATACTGAAGAGATGGAAGCGAAAGAAATAAAAAGTTTTGATGCCGTTGAGAAATATACGAACAACCTTGTCTACTGTATTTCATTTGCCTTTCTCCGAAAAAATTGATGTAGTGACAACATGATGAGTGCAAATAAAAAAAAATGTTTTGATAATGAAAAAGAAAAGAACAGAGAAGAAAATAAAGGTATTTCGCATGTTAAAAAATCTTAAAATTAAGATTTACGATAAACGAAAATAGCTCACATGATGAAATTTCGCAAACAAAAGAAAAGGAATAAAAGCAAAACTTCGTTGTCTCAAGTAATGTTACTCACATATATATGCCTACTAGCGAAAAAAAAACAAACTAAACTATTTGACTATTATAGTTTGATAACAGATATTTATTAATCAATGGCTTCAAATGTTGAATCTTTTACATGTTTGTGGCTAGATAAATATGTCAATAAGACAGAAGATAACATTGATACACAAGAAGAACTTCGTCAAATAATAAATGATGTTCGAACATTTGATAATAGTGATGCATGTGAACAATATATTCGAAAAGTTACTGAAGAAAAGATTGTTCTTATTGTATCAGGTGGATTAGGTCGAGAAATTGTACCTCGACTTCATGATCTTCCACAATTTTCTGCATGCTATGTTTTTTGTAAAGATAAAAAAGCCAATGAAGAATGGGCAAAGAAATATAACAAAGTAAAATCTTATATTCAATTTAAAATAAATTTTATTTTATTTTATTTTATCTTAAATAGATCAATGGTGTTTTTGTACAACGTCATCATCTTATTACTCAAATCACTGAAGATCATATTAATAGAACAAAAACTGAAGATGGTATTTCAGTTTCTGTCATCAGTTCTAAATCTCAAAATCTTCAAGCTCGTAATGCTAGTTTTATGTGGTTTCAATTATTTATTGAAGTTCTTCTTCGTATGCATCATAAATCGAGTGATCGTAAAGAACTTATTGATATATGTAAAAAATCCTATGGTGCTAATCATAAACAAATGGAAATTATTCATGAATTCGAACAGACATATAATAGTGACAAAGCAATTTGGTGGTATACACATGATTCTTGTTTTTATCGAATGATGAATAAAGCATTACGTATTCAAAATTATAATACATTATTTGCTTTTCGATTTTTTATTACAGATATTGCAAAACAAATAAAATATGAATATGAAAATTTTATTCGTACAAATGTTAATCGAAATATAATTCGAGTTTATCGTGGACAAATAATTAGTATTGATGAACTTGAATTAATGAAAAATAACATCAATGAATTTTTGTCTATGAATTCATTTCTATCAACAAGTCGTAATCGAACAACTGCACTTGAATTTACACGAGTTTCTCGTAGACGAGATAATATGCGAGCAATTCTTTTTGAAATTGATATTAATCCTCGATTACGTACAAAAGCTTTTGCTGCTATTGATAAAATAAGTTATTATAAACATGAAAATGAAATATTAATTATGCTTGGTGCATTATTTCGTATTGAAAATATATTTGAAAATGAAAAAGAAAAATTATGGATAGCTCATGTATCTTTAGCAAGTGAAGATGATTATCATTTAAAAGAAATATTTACTCATATGAAAGGAAAGATTGGTGATGATACGAATTTGGATTCTCTTGGTAAACTTTTACTTCGAATGGATGAAAATGAACAAGCACGAAAATGTTATAAACGAATGTTAGAAGAAACTCAACTTGCTGTTGGTGATGCTCAATTAGGTCTTGGATGGGCATCTCTTCGATGCAAGAATTTTGATGAAAGTTTAGAACATTTTGAAGAATCTTTACAAATACGACAACGTATTTTAGGAGAAAATCATCCGAGTGTTGGAGAGAGTTACAGTTTTCTTGGTGAAGCTTATCGAAGTAAACATAATTTTGAAAAAGCTTTAATTTATTTGACAAAAGCGATGAAAATTCAAGAAAATTCACTTCCTGCTGATTCTCTTGATCTTGCTGCAACTTATGATACCATAGCTAATACATATACTTCTCTCGAAAACTATAGTATTGCATTAGAATATTATGGTAAAGCTCTCAAAATTCGACAAGCAAAATTACCATCTGATCATCCTCAAATTGCTGCAATATACAACAATATTGGTTGGTTACATGAACGTGAAAAAAATTATGCAAAAGCATTGGATTGTTATCAGAAAGCTCTTGAAATAAGTCGTAAAACTTTACCGCCAACACATCATCATGTTACTGGAGCAGAAGAAAATATTCAAAGATTGAAAAAAACAATGGAACAATAATATAATTAATATTCAATGAATAAAAAGAATATTAATTCTCATTTGAGTTCAATTTGGTGTAAGGCTTCTAAATGCCTTTGTTCGATATTTATTCAGCATCGTTTTATTTTATGGATACTAAGTCTTTAGTATTAAAACTGAACTGTATGCAATTTATTAAGAAAATATTCTTGAATAGTTTCATTGTAATTTAAACTATTTGTATGTCGTTAATAACTATTTCTA